ACCCCGGCATCCTGAAGGTCAGCACCAGTCACCAAGTTTGTAGAGAACGAGGGGAGGTAGAGACCAGACAGGGAGCCGGACGGGGCCGCCGGACACGGGAGGACAGTGGAGTAGCGGCGTAAGGGTGGTGCGGTCTCGAAAGAAGGAGCGAGAAGCACCCGAGTCGAGGGTGAAGGTGTGCAAGACCTGAGCCGACGCGGTACCTGAGAGAGCAGACTCACCAACACCTAGAGCAGCAGACTCACTAGCACCTGGAGCAGCAGACTCACGAGCACCTAGAGCAGCAGCCTCAATGCCCGGGTCAGGCGGAACACACACGTAACAGTCACCCTCAGCACTAATAGACACAGCATACATGGCAGCAAGAATAGCATCAAAGTCAAGATCAAAGATAGCTACACCCGACTTAAGCAGATCACCCCAGCGAGGGATCTCAGTGGCGTCAGGGAACTGGGTATGCCAGGCGTCTGTCAGGCGACCGAAGTAGCGCTGGGTGGCGTGCTGGCCACCACACTGCTCTCCAATGCGGTCGCTTGTGCGCAGGACGTAGGCACAGGGACCAGCACCCCCAGACCCCTGGCGCCCTGCGTACCACTCACGAAGCTGCTGGGGCGACGGGGTCTCACGAGAGCGTGACTAGTGCTGGGGTCCCCGCTGCACAGCTCCGCCTCTACGAGCTCCACCTCCGCCGCCGCCGCCTCCGCCTCCTCCACCCCAACCGCCACCGCCACCGCCGCCTCCACCTCCACCGCTGCCACCGAAGCCCCCACCTCTGCCACCACCCCCACCCCCACCCCCTCCTCCGCCTCCACCGCCACTACCGCCTCCCCCACCACCTCCTCCAGCGCCCTTGCCCCGCTTGCCCTTGTTGTTGCGGCGCCTCTTACTAGGAGCAGATGCAGCGCTGACCGACGCGGTGCCAACAAGGTCGACAGCAGCAGAAGAGGCAACGGAGGGCAAAAGAGGAACGGGGGAGCACCCCTCAAAGAAAGGGGTACGGGGGTCACCACGAGAGGCTCCTACAGCGGTAATACTAGTCTCTGCTGTTTTCAGGCGCTCCTCGAGGTCAACGGTGAGGGTGGTAGGGCAAAGAGAGAGGAAGTGGTCCCTGACCGAGCGAAGAGTGTCAGGGAGTCGGGTGACTAGGTAGTAGAGGGTGATGTACATGGGGGGGGGGTTCTTAGCGCAGAACTCAGCAGGACGAGCAGCGCGGTAGCGAGTGTCACTAGTGCGGAGGTGCGTAATGAGGTCAGTGACTGTGGCAAAAGCGGCGAGGTCAGGGAACAGGTACGGTAGCATGAGGCGGCTAAGCGCAGCAGTGGCAGGGGAAGAGTAGCGTGCAACTACAGCGTCGTACAGAGTCTTAGCACTCTTGTACTGACTAAAGTGCGCGCGCTCAGTAGACGGTAGGTGACTACGCACAGCAAGGCGGGCAGCAGCATCGCGCGTGAGCCACTGCGAGCGAACAGTACTGTCAGCATCAGCAGCAGGGGCAGTAGAGGCGCCAGACGTGAGATCGAACAGTGAGAGACCATCCTTGCTATCGCACTGTAGGAAAAGCTGCAGATCATCTAGCCAGACATCGAAGTCAACCGCTTGACCCTCAGCATCAAAGGTAAGAACACTAGGACTAGCCATGACAGGAGCAGCAGCAGGCTAGCAGCAGCAGCAGCAGCAGTGCAACTCGGCTAAGCAACGCGGCTAGGCAGGGCAGCGCGGCTCGGCAGGGCGGCTCGGCAGGGCGGCTCGGCAGAGCGGTGCGGCTCGGCAGCGCGACTCGGCCCGGCGATGCTCTTACCAGGGGCTAGGCCGGGGCAGGGCCGGGGGAGGGTCGGGGCAGGGTTGCGACAGGTCCGGGGCAGGGCCGGGGCCGGGCCGCGACAGGTCCGGGGCAGGGCCGGGGCCGGGCCGCGGCAGTGCAGGAGCAGGGCCGGGGCAGAGTCGGGGCAGGGCCGGGGCAGGGCCGGGACAGGGCCGGGACGAGGGCCAGGGCAGGGCTGCAACAGGGCCGGGGCAGGGTCGGGGCAGAGCTGCGACAGGGCCGCAACAGGGCCGGCGCAGGGCCGCGACAGGTCGGGGCAGGGCTGCGACAGGGCCGGGGGAGGGCCGGGGCAGGGCCGGAACAGGGCCGCGACAGGGCCGGAGGAGGGCCGGGGCTGGGTCGCAGCAGGGCCGCGACAGGGCCGCGACAGGGTCGGGGCAGGGCCGCGACAGGTCCGGGACAGGGGCGGCGCCGGGCGACGGGGCAGGGCCGAGACGAGGGGGGGCCCGCGACGGGGGGCCGCGATAGGGGGCCGCAACGGGGGGCCGCGACGGGGGGCCGTGACGGGGGGGGGGGGGGCCGCGACGAGGGGCCGTGGAGGGCCGGGCCGGGACGACGGGGCACCAGGCGACGGGTCGTCTGGGCGCCGGGCCGGGCCGCGACGCGGCGGCTTTGGGCGCCGGCGCTGGCTCTAAGGGCAGGTACAGGGGCCGCTACGGGCCGTTACGGGGGAGGGGGGGCCTCTACGGGCCGTGAAGGGGCCGCTACGGGCCGTGAAAGGGGGGCCACTACGGGCCGCGAAGGGGCCTCGAAGGGCAGGCGCGACGCGCGCGTCGGGCAGGTAGGAATTTTTTTTTTTAGTTTTAGTGGTGGGCCCTTAGGAAAAAAAAAATCGAACTAGCTCTATACCATGTGAAAGAATTGAGGAATGAATGACTAGGAGATGAGTTGGGTACAAATAGGAAACCCTAACAAACTGTACCCCATAGTGTCTACCCCACTACAGCCTAAACAGGCTATGTGATTAATGTTTGACACCGGATTAGGACGGTGAAGGCCAGGAGCGATTCGTTATAGTATTGTGTCTTCTCATGAGGTGAGCCGCTTGCTAGAAAGGGGTATGATCCGTCGTAGTACATCCAGATCTGAGCGCCATGAGCTAGTAGTTCGAATTCGAAGCTCCAGGTGTAGAAGTCTTGTCCATCGAAGGGCTTGGTAGTCCTGAGCTTCGACGTGGAAAGGAACTTGCTCTGCATTGAAGCCATTGCCTCGTAATGTGTTTGTTGTGCTTGAGCAGATCCTTGAGCTCCGCGGTTATCGAAGGTGAAGGATCGTTCAGATCCAGCTCCTTGAGGATCGGGAGGTCTTCGGGCGTAACTTGAGCCGTCAATGCTCATTGGCTGGTGGCTCTCCAGTGCACTGATGCGGGAGATTAGTTGCTCGAGGAGCGCTGTGTCCACGGTCGTCGTAGTAGAGGCGACATTGGTGGAGGGTTGCACAGGATTTTCTCCAGCCTCTCCGCAGTCTGCGCCTGGCATGTTGATGCCCTTGATGTTGTTGATGTTGAGATTAATTTTATAAGGAAGCTTTGTTGGAAGCCCCTTTAGTAGATCCTATAATCCAAACTAGCTCTGATACCATGTTAGAGTGAGGACCTTGGATAGGATAGGAGGTACTTTAGTAGAGTTGGTAGCGGAAGTCTTGTAAGAACTCAGATCATAGTGAATGTAAATGACCAAGTTGATTAAACAATAGAATACAAGGAATATAAATAGTCCTAGTCTAGCAATGTACTCTGAAGGGTACATTCCCCTATTATAACTGTTTTACAGGCATTTCTACAGTGACTCTGACTGTTGTAATTCCTTCTTGTTACCGAGTCGCTGCATGTAACCTGTACGGTTACGCTTGTTGCTTTTCCTCGATGGCAAGTCAAGCGTCGGTCCAGATGGTCAACAGTCGCGACAGTTGACTCTTGCGATTGTTGACCTTCCTGCCCTTGATAAAGGCTGATCCGATACTGCGGTTGTTGCTGCTTTGACAAAGTCAGGTGCGATACTGCTGCACCTACGGGAATGCTAAGTATAATTCCCTTCACACTCCATCAATAAGCCCACTCCTGAAGGCTTACGGATTATAAGCACCACCCTCTGTTTGTTTCTGCTATGATTGTACTGAAATCGCTGTAACGAAACTCACATTTTCCATTCCCACGTTATTGAATTTTGATGCCCTTCACCTCGCTCGGCTCATTGCCTACGCATCCAGTCAGAATGAGCTGACGGCAGCGTAACTTGACTCATTCTGACTGTGTGTGTTGGCAGGGAATCATTCCCTGTCAATTGGAGCGAGATTCTCAATTCCAGCACTGTATAGTTTCGACTCGATTCAAATTACAAAAACGTGATCTACAATTTGGTGTAAGAAATACGCATTTCATCAATGTCATTATATAAGCGCTGACGCTTATAAAATTCCTCGATTATAAGCGCACCCCCTAAAAAACAGTGTTTTTTTATACCCCCAGGGGCGCTTCTATCCGGGGGCTGACGGTACCAAATTGAAGCCCGCAATTAGGCGAATTCGTCAACCCAGGAGGCGTCAGCATGACCAGTGAGGACAACTCGAGCCCGTCCTCCAAGCACGAGCCCCATGCCCGATGTACTGCAAAGTATCGCAACACCCTCTTCGCAGCATCCCAGTGCACCTTTCGGTGCCTACCGGGAGCCACGTAGCGAGCCAGAAGGCTGAGATGGTATGCGAGGTCAGGTCGTGTGCAAGTCATCAGGTACATGAGGCAGCCCACAAGCTCTGGATACGGGCCACTCGGCTCTACGGACTCGTCCGAAGGTGGAGCTGAGAGCGAATGACCGGTAGGCAGAGGAGTGGACTGTGGCGAGGAGTACGTGAAGCCGAAGCGCTGAAGGACCTGCTGCACCATGTGTGACCGAGTCAAGGTAATGGTGCCCTGTGCTCTGTCCCGGGTGATCCGCAAGCCAAGATAGCTTGTGAGCTCACCCAGGTCTGTGCACGTGTGTCTCTTCTGCAGCTCGGACTTTACGTGGGCGAGTGCCTCAGTGTCAGCAGTAGCAAAGACGAGGTCGTCTACGTACACGAGAACGTAGAACGGCGGCAGAGAAGTGTCAGTGCGTAAGAACAGAGAAGGGTCAGAAGTGGAAGGAGCAAAACCAAGAGCAGCAAGAGTCGTCCTGAGTGTGTCGTGCCACTCACGAGGTGCCTAGCGGAGACCGTAGACTGGCCGCCGGAGGCTCCACTGGGTACCAGCTGGAAACGACCCAGTGAAGCCAGGTGGGCGGCGCAGCCAGATCTCCTCGTGCAGGCTGCCCTGCAAGAAAGTTGTGCTGAAGTCAAGCGAGTGGAGCTCGTAGTCACGCTGAGCAGCTACGTGCAGCAGTACCCGAAGAGTGGTCATCTTTGGGGTAGGGGAGAAGGTCTGGAAGAAGTCAACTCCCTGTCGCTGACTGAAGCCACGTGCAACGTAACGCGCCTTGAAGACAGGCGGAGAACCCGGCGGCTGCTTCACCCTGAAGATCCACATGCCACTGACGATGTTCGCCCCAGGCGGGGGAACCTCGTCGACGTAGGTGCGTGTGGACTTCCAGGAAGCCATCTCGGCGTCCATGGCTGCCTACCACTGAGAGGAGTAGGGATCCTCTATCGCCTCTGCGTAAGAGCACGGGGTCGGGATGTCTGGTGCATCCGGGTCTCCCTCAGGGGCAAGCAGCATGGACACGAGATGAGGTACAAAAGCAGCAAAGCACTCAAACTCCTCCTGTCTGTCCTCAAGAACGTCCGTGCCAAGAGCACACTCACCCCCGACGGACGGAGGACAGACAGACGCAGACTCAGCAACAAGACTAGTGGCGAAGTCTAGGCGACAGGCAGCAGCAAAGTCAACAAGCTCAGCAACGAGAGCAGACGTAGCAGTGGACTCAAACAAAGGGTCAGTGACAGCAGTGGCCAGAAAACGCGTGACAGCTAGACGAGCAGCACGGAGGGAGTCAGACGCAGGGTCCGGGCCGGCAGGAAGAGAGGACGCAGGAGGAGAGGGCAGAGGGACAAGCTGTGGAGCAGTGGAAGGACGCAGAGACATAGAGTGAGTGCCAGGGACAGGAGGAGGATGCGGACGCGAAACATGACCAGCGCGAACAGAACAGACAGGCGACGTAGAAAGAGACACAGGCGACACAGGACGCGACTCAGGCGCACGACGCTCCGTAAGACCTCTAGTCGGTCCAGAGTAAGGAGAAGGACCAGGTAGTGGAGAGGCCGACTGTAACTGCGACTGAGACGGGACAGGCGGTGGACTCAGGGAAGGAGGAGGAGGACCAGGAGAAGGCGGGGAGCCAAGAACCTGCTGAAGAAGCGTAACGTAGTACGGCCGCGACCGCACAACGCCTCCAGAAACAGCAGAGAAAGAACCGGTACCCTCAGCCCCAGGGTCTCCAGTCCCAGCAGCACCTCCAGCAGCTCCAGCACCAGCAGCACCTCCAGCATCTCCAGCACCAGCACCACCTCCAGCAGCTCCAGCACAAGCACCACCTCCAGCCGCTCCAGCACCAGCAGCACCTCCAGCACCTCCAGCACCAGCAGCACCTCCAGCAGCACCAGCACCAGCAGCACCTCCAGAAGCTCCCGCAGTACCTCCAGCACCAGCAGCACCTCCAGCAGCACCTCCAGCACCAGCAGCACGACCAGTAGCACCAGCACCAGCAGCACCTCCAGAAGCCTCAGCAGTACCTCCAGTAGCTCCAGTAGCACCCTGACAGCGCCGAGAGTACCACTCACGAAGCTGCTGTGGAGAGAGAGGCTCCCGCCACAGCGGGACACCTAGAGCACCTCCAGACGCAGCACGCGCAGGCTCAGCACCTCTAGACACAGTACCCTCAGGCTCCACACGCCCAGGCTCAGCACCCCCAGGCATAGCACGCCCAGACTCAGCACCCCCAGACTCAGCACCCCCAGTCCCCGCACCTGCAGGCTCAGCACCCCCAGACTCAGCACCTGAGTCGACAGCTGCCTCGACCGGCTCGACAGGGTCTACCTGGGACACACCTGAGGGGGCAGGCCCCTGGGGGGGGAGGGGGTCTACCGGGGAAGTACTTGGTGCCAGGAAGAGCGGCGGGGGGGGGGGGGGGGGGAGAGGCAGTGCGGTAGGGAAAGAGACAGTAGTACGAGACCGACTCGTCAAACGTGACGTCCTGAGAGGACAGAACACGACGCGAGGTGGGGTGGTAGAACTGCCACCCGGGTGCGTCAGGAGGGAAGCCAAGGAAGACACAGGGAACGGCACGGGAGGACAGCTTGTCCGCAGTAGTATCGCGGACAAAAGCTCAAGATCCCCAGACACGGAACGCGGACGCATCGCCAACCTTCCCCGTCCACCGCAGAGTAGGTGTGGTCTCCGGCAAGGAGACACGAGGCTGAAGGTTGATCTGATGCGCAGCGTACCGAACCGCGAACGGCCACAGAAAATGGGGAGCAGCCGCATGGAACATGGACGTACGAGCGACGTCCATGACCATGCCAATGCGGCGCTCAGCAATCCCATTTTGCTGCGGGGAGGCCGGAAGCGTGAACGTCTGGCGGATGCCCTCCGAACGACAGAAGGCTCTCAGGAGGTCGGAGGAAAACTCCCCGCCTCTGTCAGAGTGCAGACGCAGAACAGGAAGGTCTGAGCCGAAACTCTCACTGAGCTGGCGACGAGCACCGCGGATCCCGTCGATCAATACCTCAGGGACCTCACCCTTGCTGCGCAAGGGGAAGACTGTGGTGTAACGCGAGTAGTCGTCAACGACCAGCAGGAAGTAGCGCTCGTGACCCTGTCCACGGACGCGGGCTGGGCCCCACACGTCCATGTGAAGAGTCTGCAGAGGGGCCTCAGTCGGAGGGAACGAGGAGGAGTGAGGAGCGGCGCGCTGCCGGCCCTCGACACAGGGAACACAGGTGGGGGCAGGCCCCGGAGGAAGGGGAGGGAGGGACCTGGGGAGTCCAGAGACAAGAGCACGGGAGGCCATACCTCGAAGACGAGGCAGGGAGGGGTGACCAAGGCGGTGGTGCCAAAGGAGAGTCTCGTGCGCCAGAGGACGACACGAGCAGGGGGCAGACGCAGGTCTAGACCTGGACGTGGCAGCAAACACCTGACTGGACGCAGCTACCTGACCAGACGCAGGGACCGGAGGAGGCGCAGTAGTCAGTGTGTACAGACTCGACCCTGGCCGACGGGTGAACGTGGCCAGGTGGCGGCCCGTCCGAGAGCAAGTGCAGTGGGTCACACGCTGACCTACAGGGGTGAACTGGTCAACCCACGCGTCCTGGAGGTCAGCTCCACTCACCAAGTTCGTAGAGAACGAGGGGAGGTGGAGTCCCGACAGCAAGCCCGACGGGGCCGCAGGACACGGTAGAACCGTGGAGGAGTGTGCAAGGACTGGGCCCCCAGAGGGGTCTGCAAGGGAGACCGCAACAGGCCGACAGAGCGGCGTGAGCGTGGTGTTGTCTCTAAAGAAAGAGCGCGAAGCACTAGACTCAAGTGTGAAAGTGTGCAAGGACTCAGTAGGTGCAGTACCAGAGAGAGCAAACGTACCAGCACCTGGAGTAGCAGACGCACTAGTACCTGGAGCAGCTGACGCACTAGCACCTAGAGCAGCAGCCGCAATGCGCGGGTCGGGCGGGACACTCAGGTAACAGTCACCCTCAGCACTATCAGCAAGAGCATACATGGCAGCAAGGATAGCATCAAAGTCTAGATCAAAGATAGGCACATTCTGCAGAAGCAGATCATGCTACCGAGGAAGCTCAACGGCATCAGGAAACTGGGTACGCCAAGCGTCAGTCAAGCGACCGAAGCAGCGCTGCGTGGTGTGTGGGAGCCCACACACCTCCCCACTACGGGTGCCGGTGCGAAGAACGTAAGAGCAGGGACCTGCACCCCCAGACCTCCCACGCCCAGCGTACCACTCACGAAGCTGCTGAACCGACGGGGTCTCACAGGTGCGCTGCTGCTGCTGGCGCTGGCTGCCACCAAAGCCTCCACGCTGCGCGGCTGCACCTCGACCAGCACCACCTCCGCCGCTACCTCCACCACCGGTGCCGCTGCCCCCACCTCCTCCGCCACCGCCGCCACGACCTCCACCGCCGCCACTGACGCCCCCAGTCCCGGTACCACCCCCACCTCCACCGCCACCTCCTCCGCCGCCTCCACCTCCTCCACTGCTTCCCCCGCCGCCCCCTCCACCACCCTTGCTCCCCTTGCCCTTGCTGGTGCGGCGTCTCCCACTAGGGGCAGACGCAGCGCCGACCTCCTCAGTGCCAACGAGGTCGACAGCAGCAGCAGAAGCAACAGAGGGGAGAAGGGGGACAGGGGAACACCCCTCAAAGAAGGGGGTGCGACGGTCGCCGCGAGAAGCACCTACAGCTAAGATACTCTTCTCTGCTGCAGTAAGGCGCTCCTCTAGCAGGTCCACAGTCAGCTCGGTGGGGCAAAGGAAGAGAAAGTGGTCCCTGACTGAAGAGAGGGAGTCAGGGAGGCGAGTGACTAGGTAGTAAAGGGTGATGTACATAGGGGGGGGGTTCTTGTCACAGAACCCAGTGGGAAGGGCAGCGCGGTAGCGGGCGTCACTAGCGCGAAGGTGAGCAACTAGGTCAGCGACAGTGGCAAAGGCAGCAAGGTCAGGGAAAAGGTACGGCAGCATGAGGCGGCTGAGGGCAGCAGTGGCAGGGGAGGAGTAGCGTGCAACTACAGCGTCGTACAAAGACTGAGCAGTCTTGTACTGGCCAAAGTGCGCGCGCTCAGCAGGCGGCAGGTGACTACGAACAGCAAGACGAGCAACAGCGTCACAAGTGGTCCACTGCGAGCGAACAGTACTGTCAGCAGTGGCAGCAGGAGCAGTGGAAACACCTGACGTGTGATCGAAAAGGGATACCCCATCCCTAGCATCACACTGAAGAAAGAGCTGTAGGTCGTCAACCCACACGTCAAAATCAACTGCACGTCCCTCAGCATCAAAGGTGAGAACAGTCGGACTAGCCATAGCAGCAGTAGGAGAAGTAGCAGCAGTAGCAGCAGTAGCGCAAGTCAGTGCTGGGTGGCGCGGCTCGGCTGGGCGGCGTGGCTCGGCTGGGCGGCGCGGCTCGGCTGGGTGGCGCGGCTCGGCTTACCAGAAACGGGTGCAGGGGCGGGCCGGGACTGTAGGGGGGGGGGCGCGCCAGTAGGGGCCGGCAGAGGCGCGCCAGCAGGGGCCGCGCCAGCAGGGACCGGCAGGGGCGCGCCAGCAGGGGCCGCGCCAGCAGGGACCGGCAGTGGCGCGCCAGCAGGGGCCGCGCCAGCAGGGGCCGGCAGAGGCTCGTTTGCAGAGGCCGGCAGGGGCTCGGTTGCAGGGGCCGGCAGGGGCGCGTCAGCGGGGCGCGTCAGCAGAGGGGCGCGCTAGCAGAGGGCCGGAAGGGGCCGCGAAGAGCCGTCGAAGAGGGCCGCTAAGGGCCGCGAGAGGGCCGCGAAGGGCCACGAAGGGGCCTCGAAGGGCCGCGCAAGGAGCCGCGAAGGGCCGTGAAGGGGCCGCGAAGGGCCACGAGGGGCCGCGAAGGGCCGCGAAAGGGCCTCGAAGGGCCGCGCAAGGGGCCGCGAAGGGCAGCGAGGGGCCGCGAAGGGCCGCGAACAGGGGCCACGAAGGGCCGTGAAGGGGCCGTGAAGGGCCGCGAGGGGCTGCGAAGGGCCGCGAAAGGGGCCGCGAAGGGCGCGAGGGGCCTCGAAGAGCCGCGAAGGGCAGGCGCACGGGGCGCTGCTAGGACAAACGCGAAACGCGCTTCGGGCAGGTAAGGAAAAAAAACATTGCTTAGTGGTGGGCCCTAAAAACAGTTCCACTAGGGAACCTGCTCTATACCATGTGAGAATAATGAGAGTAATGATGAACTAGGAATCAGGTGGGGTACAAGTAGCAAACACAAAAGTGTTGTACCCTCTAAGGACCACCCCACTACAGCCTAAACAGACTATAACATATATAAGTTTGACACATCCGACCATGCAACACCTGGGATTGTGCATGGTTTCCAGACGAAAACAGCATCGGTTCAATTTCCCACCGCACCGTTTTGTCTAGAACCATCGAAAGTGACAGCAGTGACGGGGATGTTGCGGTGCGGCCCAATCACAGCAGCATGTGCTGCGTGGCATGTGCATTTCTTCTTGTCAGAATGTTATGTTTCTCTAGTCTGCAGTGGGGTACTCTATAGTGAGTACACCCCAGTTAGGGTTTGCCATATGTATCCCAATGTTTGCTAGTGAACCCCCTCTTCTCTGTTTTCATCTCCTTCTTCCATTTCTCCTTCATGTACACTAAACCCTAGCTATGGCTACTAAGTTTTAGCTAGGCTTCTGACACTTCCGAACCCTCTCGAAGGGTGGGGAAGATTCCCTGCCAGCGCAGCGTTTATGCTACCACGCAGGGTCCAGTCTGTGCTCCAGTCTGTGCTCCTGACACAAGGCAATCATGGCCTTGTTGTCAACGTACAGGACTGGAGGCGAACGAGGCTGCTCTCCCAAGTCGGTCAGCAAGTAGGTGAGCCAGCATAGCTCCTGAGCAGCCATGGCTCCGGCGTAGATCTCAGTTTCACAACTGGAGCTGAGAACTGACGACGAGCGGGTAGACCGCCAAGAAACCGAGCCGGACGCAAGGCTGAAGGTGTAACCCTGTGACGACCGCTGCGTAGCTGAGTCGTCAACCCAGGAGGCGTTTGCGTGACCAGTGAGAACAACTGGACCCCATCCTCCAAGCACAAGCCCCATGCCCGACGTACTGCACAGGTAACGCAGTACCCTCTTCGCAGCATCCCAGTGCACCTTTCGGTGCCTACCGGGAGCCACGTAGCGAGCCAGAAGGCTGAGAGGATACGCGAGGTCAGGTCGTGTGCAAGTCATCAGGTACATGAGGCAACCCAGAAGCTCTGGGTACGGACCACTCGGCTCTACGGACTCGTCCGAAGGTGGAGCTGAGAGTGAGTGGCTGGTAGACAGAGGAGTGAGCTGTGGCGAGGAGTACTGGAAGTCGAAGCGCTGAAGGACCTGGTGCACCATGTGTGACTGAGTCAGTGTGATGGTGCGCCGTGCTCTGTCCCGGGTGATCTGCAGGCCAAGATAGCTGCGCAGTTCACCCAGGTCAGTGCAGGTATGTCTCTTCTGCAGCTCGGACTTCACAAGGGTCAGTGCCTCAGTGTCAGCCGTGGCAAAGACGAGGTCGTCGACGTACACTAGGACGTAGAACGGCGGCAGCGAGGTGTCGGTGCGTAGAAACAGCGACGGGTCTGCTGTAGAAGGAGCAAACCCAAGAGCCGCAAGTGTAGTCCTGAGTGTGTCGTGCCACTCGCGAGGCGCCTGGCGGAGACCGTAGACTGGCCGGCGGAGGCTCCACAGAGTACCTGCAGGAAACGTCCTAGTGAAACCAGGTGGTCGGCGCAGCCAGATCTCCTCGTGCAGGCTGCCCTGCAGGAAGGCAGTACCGAAGTCCAGGGAGTGTAACTCGTAGTCATGCTGAGCAGCTACGTGCAGCAACACCCGAAGAGTAGTCATCTTCGGGGTGGGGGAGAAGGTCTGGAAATAGTCAACTCCCTGTCGCTGGCTGAAGCCTCGAGCAACGTAACGCGCCTTGAAGGCAGGCAGAGAACCCGGCGGCCGCTTCACCCTGAAAATCCACATGCCATCGACTATGTTCGCCCCAGGTGGGGGAACCTCGTCGACGTAGGTGCCTGTGGACTTCCAGGATGCCATCTCGGCATCCATAGCTGCCTGCCACTGAGAGGAGTAAGGACCTGTAATCGCCTCTGCGTAAGAGCGCGGGGTCGGGATGTCTGGAGCATCCGGGTCTCCCTCAGGGGCAAGCAGCAAGGAAGCGAAACGAGGTACAGTAGTTGCAAGACACTCAAAGTCCTCCTACCTGTCCTCAAGGACGTCCATGCCAAGAGCACACTCACCCCCGACAGACGGAGGACTGCGAGGTACGGACTCAGCAACTAGAGCAGAGGTGTAGTCGAGACGGCAGGCAGCAGCAAAGTCAAGCAACTCAGCAACGAGAGCAGAAGCAGCAGCAGACTCAAAAGACACGTCAGTGACAGTAGTGGCAAGGAGACGAGCGACAGTGGGACAGGCAGCACGCGCTCGGTCAGACTCAGGGTCAGGGACCTCAGGAAGAGAGGACTCAGGAGGAGCACGCAGAGGAACACGCAGTGGAACAGAGGAAGGACGGAATGCCATAGTGTGCGTGCCTGGGACAGGAAGAGGACACGAACGAGGAGCGCGACGAGCAGTGCGAACAGGCGAGACAGGACGAGACGCAGGCTCAGGGTGCACTGTAAGACCTTCAGACTGCTCAGTGTAAGGAGAGGGAACAGACAGTGGGGAGGCTGGCTGTAACGGCGACTGCGACTGGTCAGGCGGTGGACACAGGAAGGGAGGAGGAAGACCAGTAGAAGACGGGACACCAAGAACCTGCTGAAGCAGGGGAACGAAGTACAGGCGCGGCCGCATAGTGCCTCCAGCACCTCTAGCTCCAGGGTCAACAGCTCCAGTTCCTGCAGCTCCAGCTCCTCCTGCGCCAGAGCCTCCAACTCCAGCTACACCAGCTCTAGCGCCTCCAGAGCGAGCTGCTCCAGGCTCCGTAGGGTCTCCAGCTCCAGTGTCTCCAGGCTCGCCAGCTCCGGGAGCTCCACTCCGACAGTGTGCGCGCTGAACAAGCCACTCACGCAGCTGCTGCAAGGACAGGGGCGGTGAAGCACCAGCAGGACCTCCAGACGAAGCAGCACCCCGAGGCTCAGCACCCCCAGACTCCGCACCCTCCGACTCATCACCCCCAGGCTCCGCACCCTCCGACTCAGCACCCCCAGGCTCAACACCCTCAGGCTCAGCACCCCCAGACCCAACACCCTCAGACCCCGCACCCCCCGGCTCCACACCCCCAGACGCAGCACCCCCAGACGCAGCACCCCGAGACGAAGCACCTGGAGCAGCACCTGAGACGGCAGCTACCTAAACAGGCGCAGTACCAGGGAGAGGGTCTACCTGAGACACTCCCGAGGGAGCAGGACCCTGGGGCGGGAGGGGGTATACCGGAGGTGGACCGGGAGCAAGGAAGAGCGGCGGGGGCGGGGGAGGGGCAGAGCGGTAGGGAAAGAGACGGTAGAAGGGAACCGACTCGTCGAACGTGACGTCCTGAGACGGGAGGACACGGTGCGAGGTGGGGTGGTAAAACTGCCAGCCAGGCGCGTCAGGGACAAAGCCAAGGAAGACGCAGGGAATGGCGCGGGCGGAGAGCTTGTCCGCGGACGTATCGCGAACCAAGGCACGAGAACCCCAGACCCGGAACACTGACGCATTACCAACCTTCCCCGTCCAACGCAGTGTGGGCGAGGTCTCCGGCAAGGAGACACGGGGCCAAAGGTTGAGCTGATGCGCAGCGTACCGGACCGCAAACGGCCACAGAAAATGGGGAGCAGCCGCATGGATCATGGAGGTACGAGCGACCTCCATGACTAAGCCAATGCGGCAATCAGCAATCCCATTTTGCTGAGGGGAGTCCGGAAGCGTGAACGACTGGGTGATGCCCTCCCCACGACAAAAGTCCCTTAAGAGGTCGGAGGAGAACTCACCACCTCTGTCAGAGTGCAGACGCAGGATAGGAAGGTCCTGGCCGAACCGCTCGCGCAGCTGGAGACGGACCGTGCGGATCCAAGGGATCAAGACAGCAGAGACCTCACCCTTGCTGCGCAAGGGGAAGACTGTGGTGTACCGCGTGTAGTCGTCAACTACCAGCAGAAAGTAGCGCTCGCGGCCCTGTCCACTGACGCGGGCTGGGCCCCACACGTCCATGTGAAGGGGCTGCAGGGGAGCAGTCGTCGGGGGAAACGAGGAGGAGTGAGGAGCGGCGCGCTGCCGCCCCTCGACGCAAGGAAGACAGGGCGGGGCAGGCGAGGGCGATAAGGGAGGCAGAGACCTGGGGAGACCAGAGACAAGGAGGCGGGAGTGCATGCCACGAAGGCGTGGCAG